AACGTCAGCTTTCCTGCTCCTCTGAAGCTGCCTGGCCTGCTGCGTTCATCCAGCTTCACACTTTGTTATCTTTGGCCTGGTGGGTTCTGGCAGCTCCATCCTATGATGAGGATATCTCTCCAGGGCACGTCGTAGCAGATGGCACCTCATGCAGCAAACCTTAAATTAATTGCCTAGATAGCTGCACTTGGGTTTGTAACAAGGTTCAGTGGCTATTTGATAATGTATCACATATAAGGTTACTGACTAAGATAAGGAACCATATGTTGGGGGTAATATATGAGTGTAGATAGAAGGGTGGCTAACTAATAGAAGTCAGATAGTTAGGATAAGAGGGGCAATTACAGGCTGGTAACGTGTAACTAAGGGAGTGCCACAGGGATCAATGCTAAGGCCACAAAAATGAATTTTTCTGAAGGGTCTGGGCCCGAAACGTCAGCCTTCCTGCTCCTCTGATGCTGCTTGGCCTGCTGTGTTCGTCCAGCTCTGCACCTTGTTATCTCGGACTCAAAAACCAGTTGGCAAATATTTTGGACAGATATGAAGGTGTCTTCAAGGGAACCCTGGGGGAAATTAAAGGAGTATAAATTAAACTTCAGTAGCAGGAGGTTTGTCCGAGTCTGGAGACATGTTTAGTGTTATATGCCATCTGACCTAAAGTGGATGTGGAAGTGGAACAACTGGTGAACCTGGAAGAGTTGGAACCAGTAATCCTTTGTGAATGGGCCACTGCAATCATCCCAGTCTTAAAAACAGTTGGTGCAGTGAGGATTTGTGGTGACTTTGAGATCACAGCAAATCCAGTCCTGTAATCCCTTTCACGCATTGCAGACCTGTTCAGTGGACTGGCAAGGGGAAAGAAATTGTCAAAAATGAATCTGTTGCAGGTCTACTTACAGATGGAGATTGCAAAGGTGTCCCAGCTGCTGCTGATGACAGTGACACAGAGGGGACTGTTCTGCCACAAGCAATTTCCTTCCGTCATCATGTCAGTACTTCCTCTATTCCAGAGAACCATATTCATGGTTTTAGTGGATTGCCTGGTGTCCAGTGTTATCTGGACAATATTTTCATTACTGGATCCTCTAAGAGGAACATTTGAAACCCTAAAATTGTTGTAGAAGCTCAGCCTACAAGTGAAAAGGGAGAAAAGTGAGTGTTTTAAAGACTACATAGATTACCTGGGCCATTTAATTGATAACAAGGGACTACGCAAGACGCCCAAGAGGATCAAAGCTATCATGAAGGCCCCCAGACCAGACAATGTGTCAGAACTGAGATCATTCTTGGGTCTTGTAAATAACAATGGTAAGTTCATATCTGATGTGGCATTGATTGCTAGGAAAAGATCATGGAAGCTGTGGAAAAGTCATGGAAATGGACCCAGGAATGTGATTAGACTTACTGGGAGGTGAAGCATGCCCTAAAAAGGTTGGCAACATCGACTCATTTTGACTTGAAGTTGCCACTGCAGTTGGCATGTGACATCTTACCTTACAGAGTTGGTGCTGGACAGTTACACATCTTGCCAAATGGAAAGAAAAGGGTGATTGAGTTCACTCGGAGATCACTAACAAAGATGGAGGAGAAGTATGCCCAAGTGGAAAAGGAAGGATTGGCCATTCTGTTTGAAGTTAAGAAGTTCACCCATTTCCTTTACAGCGGGCACATCATGCTGCTGACAGACCACAGGCTGCTAACCCGCAGTTTTGGCCCATGTATGGGAATGCCATCAACGGTGACAGCATGCCTGCAGAGATGGATACTGGCTCTGTCAGCCTACTCTAATAAAATCAGATATTGACAGTCGGAGAACTACACCAATGCAGATGCTACGTCAAGGTTAACACTGCTGGGAAATAAGGATGTTCCCAACTGGAACCTAAACATTATGTACTTTTCCAAGAAAAAAAAACAGTCACATGCAGGATGCTATCCAGAATGACCTGGTCTATGGCCTACTGTGGACTCAGTCCTTAGAGGAAGGACTTGTCGTAGAAACTGCCTAGAAATACACGCTTACCTATCAGGGAGATGGGAGTTGTCCATAATGGACAGGTGTTTAATGTGGGGAA